CTGTTATTAAACCATATACGTGTATGCTCGACCTTTATGTTAATAAACCATATACGTGTATGCACCGACCTTTCTGTTAACAAACTATATACGTGTATGCACCGATCTTTCTGTTAATAAACCATATACGTGTATGCACCGACCTTTATGTTAATAAACTATATACGTGTATGCACCGACCTTTCTGTTAATAAACTATATACGTGTATGCACCGACCTTTCTGTTAACAAACCATATACGTGTATGCACCGACCTTTATGTTAATAAACTATATACGTGTATGCACCGACCTTTCTGTTAATAAACCATATACGTGTATGCACCGATCTTTATGTTAATAAACTATATACGTGTATGCACCGACCTTTCTGGAACTTCTGCTTTTCTGTACACAGTAATGTTTGGAATCGTCGATAGTCTCTCGTAGACAAACTCCTCGTATTCTGTAACGAACATGTAAAGCAGGCAGTTAGGTTGGGCGACAGAACCCCGGGAGGGGGGGGCACTCGTGTTCGGAAAATATACCCTGTCCAGCGGCACGTTCCCAGTACCTTTAATAATGGGGACCTTTAACGTTTAATTTTTAATTTTTAACGACCTTTAATTTTACCCCCCCCACCCCACCCCCAGGGACAAAACTCGCGTCGGCAATATCTAGATACATCTCACAGTGCATAGCGCATGGACGCACGAGACTTTTACAGATCATCAGGTATGGAAGGCATGTACACTAATGTTGATCAGAATGGCGCTCGGGTCGCTCGTCGGGTCGCCTGCAAAGGTTTTTGGCCAAACATACGCGCTCAAACTGGGCACGGGTATGCCCGCGAGAGATGTGCATGGTAAAATACGCCCTAGAAATTTCACTTTGGCCGCAGCATCCCGCCACAATCCTTTCCCTGCACACAGCGTGTGTAACTATTCGATACACGGTGATCGATAAGTTGTATATCGAATAGTGAAATGCCTTTACAGTAGAAAATGTACAGTGAATAAGAATTTACATTTTACAAAACATGATGATGGAGTGTATTACGACGGTGTGTATATTGACGCTAGTTGATTATTATAGACTTGTGGATTTTCACGTGCCTTTCTTGGGATACAGCTGTGCAGTGGAATGGCTTCGAGGAGAGTAACTTTCAAACATGCTAGAGTCCACTCCGTAATCGTTAGCAGATATGAGTTTATCAGGTCCCGGCGCATGCCCGTGATCTCCAATAAATAAGATGTTAGTTGAATCGAGTAGACCTTCCTGCTGAAGCTTGTCAAACAACGTGGCGGTAAGGTTGTCTAAAAGCTCGACCATGTCTCTCGTCTGGTTCGATTCGGGTCCGAATTCGTGCGCCACATGATCCGGATTGTCAATGTATAGCATCCCAAGGTTGATAGGCCTCACCGGATCCGTGATCCATGACATCAGGATATCGATCCGCCTCCTATAGTCGAGTAGTTCATTGTAGGGCGTGACGAACCGATCGGCCTTCATCCCGCTAAACGGTGCTTCCGCCCCTATAAACACAGAGAAAAGTTATATCCGAGCATTTAAAAATTTAATTTTAAATTGATAACGGGTGATATACATTGCTGACCTCTGTCACGGGTCGCACGAAATAATAATTGAAGACGTAGACTAAAAAACTGCAATACAGTTCACATTTACGTGACAAGACTAAGCTAATTCAATTGAGATCAAACTAAATTGTGCGTATTGGCGTCTGACGCAACTCTTTCCTTACCAGGGTAAAACACTGCTCCACTGCTCCGTGGATTCTCGCAGTCGCCCGAGCGTTGATCACCAGCGGCCTGTCGTTGATCACCAGCCTGTCGTTGATCACCAGCCTGTCGTTGATCACCAGCATGTCGTTGATCACCAGCGGCCTGTCGTTGTGAGCATGCCTGGCGTTGGTTAGTGATCCATATTGGCTCGGCTCCCATATCATAGTAGCGCGGGTCAGCTCTTATAGCCAAGTTGAACCACTTATCGAACTCAGGATCATAGAACGAGTTATCCACGACCTGAAGAATTGAAAGTCGGCGTAGCGAATAGAGATATCGATTCCAACATACTACGAACTCGTCGTTATTTATACGGGTGTCTATATATACGATGTGACTAACTTGTTAATTTATACGCGTTTATTTTTTGCTGACCTGGTGACTCTCTGGCCAAAGCCCACTTGCCAGACTCAGCCAGTTAGGCCATGAATTCGTCATTAGAACGGGTCTGGAGCCTTTAACACGAGCACCTTCTTGGCTGTAAGAGAATGGAAACTAACTAAACAGTAAATATTCAACTGATAAATATTAGCAGCTGAATGTATAACGCAACACCAATTTACTTCTGTTAAATTTCATTTTAATTAACATAAATTTTTGATAATAAATAATAGCACAGGGTAAAAGTAATTAAAAAAATATTAGGGCTAAAAATGCCTCTAACATAGCATAATGTAGGCCCTACCTCATTGCCCTCTCCGGCACTACCCCTGGGTTCGCTGTTTAGTTTTTGTAAAGATTTATATATAATTTTTAATAAAATAAACAACGTATAACACGAGATAGCAACACTTCCTCAATACACGCACGCACGCATGCACGCACGCACGCACGCACGTACGCACGCACGCACGCACGCATGCACGTACGCACGCACGCACGCACGCACGCACGCATGCACGTACGCACGCACGCACAGATAGGGCCTATATATATATATATATACCTACGCACGACACACACACACACACACACACACACACACACACACACACACACACACACACACACACACAC